TTAGGCAGACAAATATCTGTCCCACAGTTTGGGTCCAGTGCACAGAACATATATGTACTACTTGAATAGTGGCAGAGCCACAGGCTCCTGATATAACTAGCAGGTGACATGAGAATACAGAAACAGGATGCATTTAGGAGGAGGTGGCTCTCAGGATCCAGCTGGATCTCAAACCACTAGGAAGGGTTCAGGAGTCCAAGCAGTGCAGCACAGAGGCCAGACTGAAGCATTTTGGGAACATCCCCTTGATCTAATCCATTTGAGGCCTCACAACTAAATGGTCGTGCTAGGGAGCATGGATGGGAAACCACCCTGTTAGGATGACAACTGGGCTCTCACCCTTCTCTGTCCCCAGCACATTTGGACTCCAGAATCTTCAGGGACTTCCAAAGACAGAGGGATCTCACTACAGTTCCTCTACAGGTCTGAGGACAGGAGAGAATATTAGGGCCCCGGGAGAGGTCCAGACTGTGCCCCAGCCCTACTGAGGTATTTAGCCCCTTTCCTGGCTCTGACCAAAAGAGGTCAGACCAAGACAATTCTAGCTGCCTAGACATAGATCCCACCTACCCCTCCACCATCCCCACCAACTCTGACTCAGACCTTTTTTGTTTGCAAATCCCAGACTTTCCAGGCCACAAAGCTAAGGGCTAAGTCCAGGGAAGAGCCTTCAGCAGGAGGGGAGGAGAAGAGGAAGTGGTTGGTAGGGCTCAATGGGAACTGGACCAAAAGAACCAGGCTCTTTGAAAGAACCCTATTTCCAGCATCCAGGAACCTCCTGTACTGAGTCCAGGCTGCAGACTTCTGAGCTCCTCTTTGCGGGGTACCCCATGAGCCTCTCTTCCCTCATGGCTGCAGTGCCTCCTCCAAGTGCAGCCCACATGCCTCTCATGGCCAGGCCAGTGAGAAGCACTGTCATTCAGGAGTAGTTCTTATCCCACTGGACAGTCTGCCTCTTAATGCCCTAGGGTATCCCCAAAGACCCCTGTGCCAACAGACAAGGGAGCCCCAGATAGCAGTGGAGGTAGCATGGGGAAAACCCTTCCCCTGTGCCTCAGAAGGTCTGCAAGGAATGAGCCTGAGGCCCCGGCATCCAAGTCAGGCGAGTGCTGAGAAAAACCAACTCTGTGCTCAAATACAGACTTTCCAATTTGGAATTGGAAGACCTTGGTCTCCCTGGTAAAGGGAAGGAGCAGCCAGGCCACAGAGCCTGCTACTGTAAGGCCATGGGAGACTAGCTTCTGCCTGCAGGTGGGCAGACCCAGGGTTTCTCTGAAAGCTCAGTAGGCCAGGGGCTATAGGATGTCTGGATAGGGACTGACTCCTGCATGGTCTGGGTCATCTCTCTGGGCCTCCCTTTCCCTGTCTGCTCAGTGGACATTGAGCTGCCTGAGCCCCAGGGTCCCTCCCAACTCTGCTGTCAGGGCATGAAACCCTGAGTTGTTGTGTCCCCTCACTAGGAATGGGAAGTCCTAAGACTAAGCTCAGGCTCAGACTACCGGGCCCTTTCTATGGCTGAGGCTTAGCAATGTTCCTGTTCAATCTAACTTGAAACGGGGGTCCTGAACCCCCCAGGCAGGGTCCCCACCTTTTTGTTAGACTGTTCCCCGTGAGCTTTTATAAAGAGTTTGACTGGAATCCAGGGAACTTTTGGAAAGTGCATGGGCCAAACCAAGCTGTACAAACCTTGTCTTCCTCCCAGAACTGAAAGAATCCAGGTTGTTCCCAAATGCAGAAGTGGGAACAAGAGATGAAAGAAGGAAGGGAGCTATTTTAGGAGAGCTTATATACCACAGAGCTCCCAGCAGCAGCCCAGGGTGGGGTGAGGTGGGGGGGTACAGGCAGAGGCAGCAGAGTTGGGGCACTGGTACCAGGTGTCTCCTATAAACATATGAAACATTCACACACACCCAGGAACATATGACTACACAGTTAGCAAAGCATGCAACTGTGCACAAACAAATGCTGATTTGTACAGAAAGATACACAGGTCCCTATACCTCAGCATGCAACTACAGAGACATGCACAAACATGCCCACACACACAGATACAGATGCACATGCATAGACACCTTTGATGAATACAAAGATGCACACTGCAGATTGAATAATGCCAAGCCAGCCAGGTATGGTGGTGCACACCTCTAATCCCAACAGCTTGGGAGGCTGAGGCAAGGGGATCACCAGTTCAAAGGCAGCCTCAGCAACTTAGTGAGACTCTGTCTCTAAAAAAAATGCATTAAAACGACTGGGGATGTGGCATCGTGTTGAACCCTTCCCGTGGGTTCAATTCCAAGCACCAAAAGAAAAAGAAAAAAAAAAATACCAAGCCAAACCTGGAGACTGGGAGAGGACTTGAATCCCCTGTTGACCTTGCATTCTTGCGCACGTGCATGCGCGTGCACACACTCACACAACACACACACACACACACACACACACACACACACACTCTGCAGGAAGGGAACTACTTCCTTCATGGGAGCTTTTGGATCCAGGGCTACATGCAATCAAGACCTTGTGCCGGGAAATAAAGCGCCTTTGTCTGCTGGGACCAGCACCGTGGGAGCAGCTGCAGCCTCCTCCAGGATTAGTGCCAGGCCAGTTCCTTGCCCCAGGGAGGAAGGTCAGGTCAGGCCTCGGATGGGGGCAGGGGGTGGGCAGGGAGCTGGCAGTTCTGACAGGCCCTGACACCAATCCCAGGACACAGTATCTGGCTGGTGGCACAAAGTCTAGAAAGCCAGTTGTCCCCAGCCTTGGTTGCTCTAACCTCTGCCCTGGTCTGGCCACAGTCCCAGAACAACAGTGGTTCTGACCCGGAGCCCTCGTTCTACACTGACCTGACAGGCCTGCCCTGGCCTGGTCACCATACTGCCATGAGCCTGGCTTCACTTTTTTAGCAGAGTGAAAAAAAGGTCAGTGTCTGGAATTTAGAAAGACATGATATTGAGTCCTGGTTTTGTCACTCTCTAGCTGGGTGAGAACACGCCTAACCCTTCTGAGCCCTAAGTTTGAGCTTCTGCTACTTTGCCTGATACATGGTCAGTGCTCAAAATATGGAGACAAGTCCTCTTTATTCACCCAAGATTCCTCGCTGGCCTTCTCTCAGGCCTGGGAAGCTGGCCTGGCCTCTCAGCTCCAGTACATGTGGGGGCCCTGCAGTCTCTCCAGGCTACCATCTCTGGAGCTCTCCTCCTCCCTTGTGACCCTTCCCACCCCTGAGGCCTGCCATGGATCTGTAGGGTGCTCAGGTATCCTCGCACCCCCTCGTGTTCCCTGCCTCAGCCTAGTCTGACATCTGCTCCCTTGAAGCTGAGTATTCTGAAGGCTGAAACTCCGCTGAGAACAACCCCATTTTTCTAACTTGAGAAAAGTGCTACAGTTTGGAAGGAGTTTGTTCCCTCCAAAACCCACATTGAAATTTGCTTCCCAAGGTAACTATATTGAGAGGTGTTGGGGTCATGGGGGACCTGTCCTCATGAAGGGATTGACACTGTTCTCGGCCATAGAAGTGGGTTCATTCTTGGAAGAGCGGGCTGTCATAGAATAGAGCAACTGTTACGCTTTTTCTCTTTGACTCGTACTTTGTCCTCGGCTTTTCCACATGCTGTGATACAGTACAAAGCCCTCACCAGGTGCTGCTACCCAGTCTTGGACTTTCAGTCTCCAAAACTGTGAGATTAAAAAAATTTCTTTACTTTACAAGTTATCCAATCTCAGGTATTCTGTTAAAACAACAGAAAATGCACTAAGAAGAAAATGATTTAGCCTGGGGAGACCTTCCTGAGAGAACTTAAGTATCATCTCCAGACTCAGTTCTAGAACTCAGTCTACTCATTTATACAACATATGAATTTGAAGATTAAGCTTCAACATGCATGCTATTCTAGATGCTGAGATTCAGCAGTGAACAAATAGGCAAGATGTCTATCCTTATGGGATTACATTCTGGTCCCCCAACACCAGAGTGCATGAGACTTCAGCATCTGATCATGAGCTGTAATCACTTTGTAAGCACAAACCACACTTCTTTCTTTGTGCTGCCACCAAATTTTGGAATGTCACTATCATAGCTCTCTTTCCCATCAAGTATCTCCATGGTAGACTGTGGGTATCTGGAAGGCACCGACAAGCCTGGCCTAGAGCCTGTTGTGAATCTCTTATTGTCAGAGTTGGTGATGGCTTTCAGTAGTACAAGAGCATTCAGGTACTGATAACCCTTGATGTGGTTCTTTCTATGGATTTGATGGTAAGTTGGTCTCTTTTTTTAACTACTATGTAGTTCTGATAAATAAATTAATCATATTTAACTATGATTAATTGTCTTCTCTTTCTTTTTAACAAAATCATACTGCTTCAGAAAGTATTCCTGAAACTCAGCCAGCCACACATGAGGAGTGTCAGTCAATTGCTCTGCTCTGTCACCCTTGACACAATGAATTCGTTCACATAATAGCAATTCAACACTTGTCCCATGCCAGACTTGCAGTGGGGAAAACGGTTCATGAAAAACCTTATTTAGGGCAAAGCAGTGGCATCTAGGGAGGGTCTTTTTGATGCATGATAACATGGTAGAGGGCATCACAGGTGAGACAGAACAAGAGTGTGTCCGCCCAGTTCCTCTTTCTCTTCTTTTTGTTTTGTTTTGTTTTGTTTTGTACTGGGAATTGAACGCAGAGGGGCTTAACCACTGAGCCACATCCCCAGCCCCCCTTTTTTTTGTGTGTGTATTTTATTTAGAGACAGGATCTCACTCACTGAGTTGCTTTCTAAATTAATGAGGCTGGCTTAGAACTCACGATCCTCCTGCCTCAGCCTGCAGAGCTGCTGGGATTGCAAGCATGCACCACCACACTCAGCTCCTCTTCTTACAGAGCCACCAGTTTCTTCATGGGGGCCCCACTCTGATGACCTTATCTAGTCCTGATTAGCTCCCAAAGGCTCCGCCTCTAAATAGCATCAATATATGAATTTGAAGATTAAGCTTCAACATGCATTTCGGGGAGGACATTCAGTCCATGGCAGGGATCCAGGCAGATGAGCAGAGAATGACAATCCAGTGTGACAAGTGCCTGACAGAATGAGGGCTGATGCTGCAGGAATCCAAAGGGAGCTCGTGGGTGGGAGGCGGGTGGATCAAAGATGGTTTTGCAGTGCAGAGGATATTTGAGCCTTGAAGCCACCCATTGAGATTTTTTTTTTTTCAGGTAGAGATAAGAGAGAGAGGGTCAGGCAGAAGAACCAGCATTTACAAAAGTCATGGAAGTCGGGAAAGTCCTGAGGAGAAAGAAGGAATGGAGAAGCGTTAGATGTCCTGAGCAGAGCAAGAGCAGAACGTCTGGCTGAGCCCGGAAGTCAACTGGCACCAGGTAGGAAGTGACTGCCAAGGAGTCTGGGGAAGCCCTGCCACATGGAGGGCACCCAGCTCTGGCCCTGGTGCTGCCCTCTGATCTGTCTCCCTCCCTTCTGTGTGTCTCACCCTTCACTCTTCCTGGGAAACTGGCTTCATTGTAGCCAAACCTCCCTTAGGGGAAAAAAAATGAGGCAGGAATTCTTTTAAGAGTTCTTAATATACTAAAAGTCTTGATCCTCGGTGAAGTTTTGCCTTTCATTGTTTTTCAATTTGACTTTTTTTTTAATGGAAAGAAGCCTTATGGTGTTATGTGGTAAAATCTATCAATCTGTGCATATGTTCTCTGTCCTGAAATTGGGTAAGTATTTAGTTCTTTCAGGGTTTAATGTCTAACTTTTTTCCCCCTAACATTTAAACCTTTAAGCCATCTGTGGTTTATTTTGGTGTAAGGTAGGAATCTAACTTTATTTTTTTCCAAATTGTTAGCCAGTTATCCCGTCCCATTTTCTGAGTAATCCATCATTTCTACACTAGCTTGTTTATTTTTTTCCAATTTTCTATTCCTCCCTCTCCTTGGTTTTTAAAGGTATACTTGCTACCAAAAAACAAGAAGAATGAGGAGGAGAAGAAAAAGAAATGTAGAAATGTCATGAAACCTATGGCTTAGAAAGTGAAAGCCCTTCTCTCTCTCTCTCTCTCTCTCTCTCTGTGCTGGGATTGAACTCAGGGTCTCACACACACTGAGCAAGCCACTCTCTACCCCTGAGCTACATCCCCAGCCCCAAACCCTCCTTTTCCACCACCCCAAGATGACACCCACTGATAGTTGGTTATATTATATTTTTATTATTATGTTATAATACTCATTAGGTTTCTCTTTAACACAGAACTATACAAAAGAGAGGGTTCAAAAGGGATCAAAATCTCTAGATAACACGTATTGACTCAAAATACACTGACTTTTCAAAATAGCAACACATATATGTTTGTTGAAAACATCAAACAATCCGAAAGATGCAAAATCATCTTTTTCTCTCTTTCACTATTGTCCCATACCACATCCCTCTGTCCAAAGATAACCATGATTAAAAATTTCCTATTTGCCCCATGCACCATGGTCCATGCCTGTAATCTCAGCAACTCAGGAGGCTGAGGCAGGAGGATTGTAATTTCAAAACCAGCCTCAGCAACTTAGCAAGACCCTCAGCAACTTAGCAATTATCCCATCTCAAAATAAAAAATAAAAAAGGCTAGGGATGTAGCTCAGTGGCAAAGCACCCCTGGGTTCAATCCCCAATACCTACCCCCGACGTAAAAAAGTCCTATTTGTTTTAGTTAGAAGGGCACTTCTCTGCCATGACCCCCATTTTGGCCTGTAGACCAGCTAGCTATTTCTGGACCCTTGTCTTCTGTGCCACTTCTCTCTCTGCTGACCTGGTGCTAGAAACATCCTGTTTTGAGAATCTGAGTTTTACCATATGTTCTGACAGCTGGCAGGGCAAGTCCTGCCTTCTTGTTCTTCATCTGAGCAAGCACAAGGACTATGCCACAACTATTGTCCTCACCAACTTTAGATTGCTCAGTCCACTCGACTGACATTTTGTTGAATTGATTGTTTTTATAGATTCATTAGGAGAGGATCGTTTTCTTTATGTGTCACTGTCTCCTGTGACTGCATTCAGATTTTGTGACTTTTCTCATTTGGGATCTTGACCATCCCTCCTTGGGGTATCTTAGTCTTCATCCCTGTAATAATAATAGCACAGCCTCAGCCAACTCGGAGGAAAAGGATGGGAGACCTGGTCTCTAGGTTCCTGCACCCAAGGAGGAGCGGGTGTATGCTGCTCAGCAAACTCCAGTGAGCGAAACTAGACCGGCTGAGGGTCACCCAGAGGCCACCTTTGGCTCAGCAAATGGAAGAATGTTCTATCTGTTGGAGCTGCAGGGCCATGGAACAAGTTGCTGGGGAAGGCGGTGGCTGGTCCTTTTCCAGTGTTCCAGGGAAAATGTAGCTTGTGCTCCCCAAGAGCTTCCTGGATAGTGACAGGCACGGGGGCGGGATACTGGTGAGAGGGGTCCAGGTGCTGGTGAGAGGGGCCCCTGGTCTTTCCACTCTGCCCCAGGGGAAGAGCCCAGCACTCCTCAACCACACTCAGTTCTCTCTCTGCCATGATCCCTCTATTTCACATCTGAAGACAGCAAGTCTCAGCCAGCCCAGCGGGTGACTTAACCAAGGTCACCCAGCCAGCCCTGGCACACCTGATTCCAGAGCAGACGCTCCCCAAGCTGGCCTTTTATGATTACTTCCCAGGAGCTTCTGCTCAGAGTCAGAGCAGACAGAGAGGAAGCTGGGACACCCCACCTGCCCCTCAATCCAGACCGCTGGGCAGGTGAGTGGCCCAGCTGGCAGTGAGAGGGCACCTCTGATTCCCTCCCATTCCTGGCTCTGCACGTATGGCTGTATCTCTGCCCGGGGTGGCTCTCAGCTTGGCTCAGAGTGTCCTCAAGGGGCCAATGGACTTCTTGATTCCAGGCTGCACATCTGGAAGTTGACGCTATTAAAACAAACCCCATTATATAACAAACGGACATCTGGAACCCGTTAGCGCTGAGTTTTTAGAAAAAGAAATTGTTTTGGATGTGCTCTTTCCTAAGAATGTGGCAAAGCACCCTCCCTCTGGCTGTCCAGGAACCCAGGGACCAGTATCCCTTTGGGGCTCATTTCTTGAGGTATCTCAGGCCAGCCCAGAGGTGGACTGGGGAGAGGCAGGGACATAGACCACCCCTCTCCCCTGCCCACAACAAGCAACTTCCCTGTCCCCTGCTGGCTACATCTCTGCAACCCTTTTTTCCAATTTCATTTAAATATTTATTCACCAAACATGCCCATTGTGTGCTGCCAACTCCATATCATTCACACTCACACCCCCAATACCCCCATTGAACCTAAGTTCTCCATTACACTTAAGAAAAGAGAACATGCGCTGGGCATATTGGCATGGGTCAGTCATCCCAGCTAAACTGGAGGCTAAGGAGGGAGGCTCACTTGTGCCCACAAGTTTGAAACCAGCTGGGCAGGGAGACCCCCATCTCAAAGAAGAAAGGAAGGGAGGGACAAAAGACCATGGATTGCCCTGGATTCTAAACAGCAGTGTTTGTGAACTTCCGTTTCCTCAGACACCAGGCCTGAATAGCAGGCTGGTCTCCAGAATGCCCTAGCACTCTGAGGACTCTCCTGGAATAGCCTCCTCCCTACGCTTTCTCCCTGGACACAGGTGTACTGGGGCCAAACATTAGTGAGATCACTGAGGCACCAATGAATTGGGCACGCAGTGTTTTTTCTCTGAGTGGGCTTCAATGACAAGTGAAGAGGCCCATATGAGAAATGTCTGGCTAACACGCTCAAATGGAAATCTTATTTTTTTTTAAAAAGACACCCCCCAAACAGTTTATAATGAAAATGTTCAAATAGAGAAAAGTTGAAGTGTACAATGAACACCCATTACGCCCAGCACCTGGATGGCACAGCTGTCCAGACGGTGCTGAATTCGCAATTTTGTCTATTCATCCCACCCGTCAACTCAAATGCAATTTGCAGACATCAGTAATGCTTTGCTGCTTAGCACTCTGCATGCATATCACTAACTAGGATTTAGGGCTTCTGGTTTTAAAATTGATAATAAAATGCACAAGTCTTAAGATTTCAGGGAGTTTGGCGAATGGAGATACCTGCACAACTTGAACCCCTATCATCACACACAATTTACCATCAGCCCCAGGAGTGTCCGGTGCCCTGTCCTAGCACATCCCCAGCTCCCACTCTTCCCACAGACAATGACTGTTCTGATTACTTTCACCATAGATGAAGGATTATGGGCTTTGAACTGAGCTCTCCCAAAATGAATATGTTGAAGTCCAGGACCTCAAAATGAGACAGGGTCTTTAAAAAGGTGCTTAGGTTAAAATGAGGTCATGAGAGTGGGCCTTAATCTAATATGACTTGTGTCCTCCTAGAAAGAGGAAATTGGGATATAGATATATTCAGAGAGAAGACACAGGGAGAAGATGGCCATTTACAAACCAAAGAGAGGCCTCAGAAGCTTCCAACCTTGCCGACATCTTGATGGGCCGCATCCAGCCTCCAGAACTGAGAAGACACCCAGTCTCTGACACTTGGTTTTAGTTGCCCTAGCAAACTAGTATACTAGGTTTGCCCTTTCTAGAATTTCATACAAATAAAATCAAATACTGTATGCTCTTTCATGTCTGGCTTTATTTTGCTGTTGGGATTCATCCATGTTGCCATGTGAGCCAGAACTTTGTTCCTTTTCATTGCTGAGTAGTATTCATTATATGACTATTCCATTATATGACTATTTTTAAGGTCAGGGCCGTTTATTTTCTAATAACTGAAGAATTTTGGTAAAAGTTCACTTGAATGTATGTCTTTATGTCAACCCAGCCATAGAGCGGATATTTTCTTCTGTAGAGAGCTTCAGAAATATACACAAATGTTTTTTCACCCTGATAAAGCACATCATGCCCCCTGGAATGAGAAGCTCTTAGAGAGGAGATTCAATTGGGAACACATTCTTTTTAACTCTTCAAGTGCAGGCAAATCCATGATGTCAGAAGGGCCTCAGAACATCATCTGCTCAGTTACAAATAGCAGTGATTATATTGGCTTCACAATCAGGCAGCTACAGATTTGAATCTTACTTTCTGTGTGACCTTAAGCAAGTCATTCTTAATGTGAGGCTCACTTCTCTGAGCCTCACATTCCTTCCCCGAGAAAGGAGGCTAATGATCCCTTCCTCTGTCGTGCTTGAAGTTTGAATGAACTAACCAGCTCAGGGCAGAAAATGCAAAACACCAGGAAGCATTCAATGTTGAGATCTGTCCCACTTAGCAAGCCTCCGGGCTAGAACCTCTCACTGCATAGGGCAGGAAAAGGATTTCAAGACTGCTAAGAGTAGAAAATGAGCTTTCCGCACTGTCACATGTAATAACTGAGACCACGAAGAAGGGTGGTAAAGCCTGTGTCACATCACCAAGCTGCCAAAATCAATTAAGCTGATACAACTGTACAGAAGTGGTATTTACAGAGTTTCATAAAACACACTTTCAGTTCCAGCGTGCCCAATGTCTGCACATGTTTGACGATTTCTGTGTATTATTTTGTTCCATCTGAATGGGGAAGTTCAGAGCTTTTCTTTTTGGGCACTTGGGATTAAACCCGTGGTGCTTTACCACTGAGATACATCCCCAGCCCTTTTAAATTTCGAAGACAGTGTCTTCTTAAATGGCAGAGGCTGTCCTTGAACTGGCAAACTTCCTGTCTCATCCTTCCAAGTCGCTGAGATTACAAGGAGCACCGGGGAGCCCGGCCAGAAATTTGTTTCACTTTATCACAACCATTGCTAGCAAAGTGTAAATACTATAAAGAATGGGCTCATAATCTATGAGCCCATTCTTTATAGTAGATATCAATCTAGTGCTTTTCTTTTGAAAAAGTAGGAAAAATGCGTAATGTGAATTTCCATCTTTTGTTTTATTTTAGAAATTCTTTTCTTCTGAAAGAAAAGTTTTTCAACTTTGAAGTCCTTAGGAATTGCTTTTTGGCATAATTTATCCACTCTGTCCCAAGTGGCCTTGAAAAGCTCCTAATTTCTCTCCAATGATGATCTTTCTTGGCTTTCAAAGACAGAATGTCTATAGTTTCACTTTGAAGCTCATTAGGAAAAAATTCTTTTCTGGGACACTTATCATGGGTTTAAGAAATCTAAAACAAAAGATAAATTCAGATTTGGAAACAGTGACAGCAACTGGATACTCTGGTCACCTGCAGGATATGAAGTCATTTGCTACAACTTCCTGTGGTCTGGTGGCATCTGAAGTTGTCCGTTCGCAGCTGAAAGTGCCCCGAGAGGCCCAATCCGATGTGCTGGAAAAGGTTCACCCTGCCTCCTCACACTTCATCTTCATCGGTTTCCAAAGGTTTGGAAAAGTCTTTTGGTAGGTACTGCATGTGCCAAGAATAGAACTGAGAGCATTTAAGGTTCTTTCCTTCCCTCCCCAAACCTCGTCATTACTAGGAGCTGGGTGCAGGAAATCCTCAAACTTCAATCCTCTCGGCGCGTTAGGTGCGCTGTCAGAGGCCTGGCAGAGGGGTTTGTTCAGATCAAATCAATCCCACTTTGCTGCTGGGCTGGAACCCAGGGCCTCGCACATGCTAAGCACTGACTCTACAGCTGAGCGGCATCCCCAGCAGATCGATTTTCAGAACCCTACGCTAGACGACTGATCCCATCAACATCCAAACCAAGAACCTCTCTTCGGTTAATCCTCTCCACAATGGCATCTGACAGTCTCACGGTCCTCCTTTCCCAAGGTGCTACTGCAAAGAGCTCTAGAATGGGCCAGCGGCCAGGCCCGGAGGGTTGGACAGCGACAGCGTGCTGAGCCGGCTGGCTCCTGACTGATCTCCCTCTGGGCCAGACCCAGACAGTAGGGACCAGCAGCAGAGGAAGTCCTGGGTGAGAATAAAATCTCCAGGGTTGCAGGAGAGAGCTTGGCGCAGGGATCCACCAGAGGAGAGGCAGAGCCAGCACCCTGGGTGGTCCTAAGAGGACCCGCAGCATCCACGCTCCCTACCCAGGCAGGGAGAGGGAGGAGGAGAGCGCCCCCTTGTGGAGCGCAGCGAGGCACTGCCGGTCGTCAGCTAGAGGTGGGCTGAAGACAGAGAAATCAGAGGGAATCCAGCAGCAGGGAGAGTCTGATGGGCTCAGAACTGCGGGAGACCAACCAACCCCAACCTGCACAACAGGAAAAGGAAAACAAACAGAAGAGCACTTTGAAAAATCAGATGCAAATAAATTTAAAATGAATTGGAGAAGGGATGAAAATCTGGGGAATCTAAGGGGAAGCGAGAGAGCAAAACGCAAAGCAAAAATGTAGGAGAAAGGGTATAGAGAAAAGCAAATGCTTGGTAGGAGAGGACTCTGAGAGATGTAATTTGTGGGTAATAAAAATAAGTATGCAAATCCTAGAAGGAAAAAAAGAACAAATGGAGGAGAAGCAATCATGTTTTAAAATGAGAAGGGAAAGTTTCCGTGGTTTGAAGAATGCCTTGGGTTTGCAGATTGGAAGGCTCATTGAGTTCCAGGCAGAAATGATGGAAAAAGACGCACAACTAGTCAGACCTGGGAAGATTCCGAAATTCCATGATTAAAGGGAAAACTCACACAAGCTTCCGCAAAGAAAGAACGAGTTTCATAGACCTAAGAATCAGACTAAATTGCACTTCTCGTTTGCAGTGCTAGAAACCAGTGTCAATCAGCCCACAGACAGAAAGCCATCCTGTGCTGGCCACGCTGCCATTCTCCTACCTAGAAAAGAAACATGCAAGATCTAGAGCATTTCTCCCCTCGAGGAAAATAAGGGACAAAAGAACCTAATCAGACAGTAACAAATCAGACTGGAGATGAGGGAGATGAAGAAACCAGTAAGCCACAGTGAGCTGTGAACCCACCAATCCCTGTGTGCTTAGCTCCAAATAGATAAAGAGGAGATGGTGCTATGGCTTGAGTGCCCCTCAAGAACTCAGATTGAAGCTGGCCCCATGGTGCAACCTGTAATCCCATCAGCTCGGGAGGCTGAGGCAGAAGGATCACAAGTTCAAAGCCAACCTCAACAATAGTGAGGCACTAAGCAGCTCAGTGAGCCCCTGTCTCTAAATAAAATACAAAATAGGGCTGGGGATGTGGCTCAGTGGTCGAGTGCCCCTGAGTTCAACCCCCGGTACAAAAAAAAAATCAGATTGAAATTTAATTGCCACTGTAACAATATTAAGAGGTAATTAGGTTGTGGGGGACCACCTTCATGAATGGATGAAGGCCATTATCACGGGAGTGGGGCGGGTTAATTATTTATAATCTCTCTGTCTGTCTCTCTCTCTCTCTCTCTCTCTCTCTCTCTCTCTCTCCTACCTTCTGCTATCTTATGATACAGCAAGAAGGTCCTCACCTGAGTGCAGCCCTTCTAATCTTGAACTTCCCAGCCTCCAGAACTGTGATCTAAATAGACTTCTATTATTTATAATTTACCCAGCCTGGAGTATTCTATTAGAGCAGCAGAAAATGGACTTAGATGGAATTTGTAATGTAAGCACTAAATAAGTACTTTCTTTCAAACAAAAGAGAGCTTCAGGACAAAGCCTTGCTAGCCTACATCTAAACGTGTTAGATGATCTTCCAAACTGCAGGAGCTGGGGAGGAGAGAGGGAGCCAGCAAAAGTGTTTCTAAATATGACTGGGAAGGAAAAATAGGGAAGGGAGCCCCTCCATGGGAGGAATTAATTGGTGCCTAGTTGCCAGGGAAGTTTCTTCATTATGAAAACCAGAAAAAGCAAGGTGAGCCCTGGAGGAAACAGCATGTAGTGCTTTCAAATAAGAGGCAAAAAGAGGATGCCCGTGGGGTGGGACATGTTTTGTCTATTGTTCCATCTCCTCCCCCCTTTTGTATTTTGAAAACCTTTCATTCTGAAAACCTCTAAACAGTACCACACAAGAGGGAATGGCATAATGACTCTCCATGGATCCAACACTAGGGTCCAAAGACTCATTGTGTGTGTGTGTGTGTGTGTGTGTGTGTGTGTGTGTGTGTTGTTTTTTAACTGGGGACACATAGGTTGTCACAAAACCCTGTAACACTTCAGGTTTTATCTTTTTCTGTTTGTGTTTTGATTGGTTGGTTGGTTTTGTGGTTTGGTTTTGCAGTATTAGGGTTGATCCCGGGGCTCTGTACCACTAAGCTACATCTCCAACCCTTTTTATTTTTTTGAGACAGGGTCTCACTAAGTTGCTAAGGCTGGCCTCAAACTTGAACTTGTGATCCTCTTGCCTCAGCCTCCTGAGTTGCTGGGATTACAGGTTGTGCCACTGTACTTGGCTTTGATTTATTTTTTCCTAGCAATTTCATTTAGAATTTGCAAAAATCAGCATTGTCATTGATCAAAGCATTTCTTTTCCTTTAGTTTTTTTGTGTTGTTGTTTGTTTGCTTGTTTGTAGTGCTGGGGATCAAACCCAGCACTTTACCAACTGAGCTATTTCCCTAGCCTTTCCTTTAGTTTTTATTCCAATTTCCAACAACTCCAAATGTTTACCTTCATAAAAAATCGTATAAGCCATGCTCTTTGCTTGGTAGACATTATTTTAGCTTCCCTGTGGCTCTTTGATTGATTGACTGACTGATTTTTGCAATACTGGGAATCAAATGCTAGGGCTTCAGGCATGCTAGGCAAGCACTCTACCACTAAGCTACATCCCCAACAAACTGGATGAGTTTTTTTAATGGCAGACAACTGACAGAAGTCAGAGAATGCTAAATCCTGATTACAAAGACTCTTATAAATCCCATCATTGGCACAGAACTTTCTGTGTTTTTAATGATCCACCAGTGTTTATATTCACTCAGTAAGGGACACCTGGCTCGAAATGGCATCATTCACTCTCTGCCTTTATTTTGGTGCCAGGCATTGATGATTCTGGAAAACTATACCATCACTTGACTCCCCATGAGTTCTTGGGGGGAAATGACAACAGACTGTTCTTAACTAAGCACTATTTCTAATAAAGAAACCACAGCCAACCTTGGCCAAGACATCAAAAAGTGAAAAAGAATAGGAAAAAACTTGTAAGCACAGAGATAAACCAGCCAGGCACATGGGCAAACGAACACCAGCCGTGGAGAGAGGGCACACAGAAATGCCAGCATCAGCCAAGTTGTTCCCAAACACTCAAATTTTCCTTTATTATTTTCTTCTCTCTCAGTGAAAATTTGTGACGTTTTTACATTGCCACTCTCTTGGTGTGGTTTTGTGATGCCAGATTCGTGGGACCCCAATAGACTTCCAGGAGCCAAATCTGATGCAGTCACACAAGAGTCTTTATTGCAAGCTCAAGCCTGGACTCACAACCGTTTCTGCCGCAGCAGTACCAAGGAGTGAGTCCCGGTCCTTTGTCCAGTGAGATTTTATAGGTTTTGGGGGGATACTCTATGTGTCACAACATCACACAGCAAATCATTTCATACCACGGGAAAATCAAACAACTCTTAACATTGATTAGCACACCCACTGGCGGGAACAAGTTGGGTAGGGGTGATTGGTTAGTAACTTTGTTAGAACAAGTTAGTTAGGGGTTCCTTTGAACTGATTGGTTTAATCCATGAGGGGTGTAAGTGCTAAACTACATGGTTTCCTAACATGTTATCAATCACCAAGACTACGGGGGCGTCATCTGGCATCCCAGGTATTTTCCCTGTCTCGTGCTGATTGGTGATTGCTAGGGGGTTGCTATGGGTCCTCACCTAGCCCAAGTCAGGGACACCTGGCTCTGCAGATCTCTCCTGTTACTTACAGACAAACAACTCAGCAGGGTGGGTATGTGCCTAGGAGTGCTCTGTGGGTTTTTCCATGGACAAGGGTTACAACCCCTCCCTTTGGACCGGCCTTGAGGTAGAAGCTGGGTTTTCAAAAATGGAGTCACCTCAGTTTCTCAGTTTCTGTTGCTGTAACAGAACACCTGAGATTAGATCACTTGTAAAAGAAAGAGGTTTATTGTGGCTCACAATTATGGATGTCCAAGAACGTGGTGCTGGCATCTGCTAGGCTTCTAATGAGGGCCACATGCTTCATGCATGGTGGAAAAAGGGAAGGGCAAGCAGGCATGTGTGGAAGAGAGGAGGGGACAAAGGAGCACTTTTTAACAACCCACTGTCTCCTGAGGTCTAATTCATTTCCAAGAGAGTTAATCCAGTCTTGAAAGAAGGTGTTGATCCTTCTTAAAGGGCCCCACTCCAGGGACTGGGGATGTAGATCAATGCTTGCCTAGTGTGAGAGAGAGAGAGAGAGAGAGAGAGAGAGAGAG